GACTATAGTCCCTCCCACTACCGTCACTCACTGATTAAGGTCCCTCCAACCTACATCGCCCGCCAACTATACTCCCTCTGACCACTATCGTCCGCCGACTATGGTCCCTCCTACCTCTGTCGCATGCTGAATATGGTCCCTTCGACCTTTTTCGCCCGCCGACTACGGTCCCTCCAACCTCCATCACCCGTCAACTACAACCCTAATATCACTAGATTCTTCCAACTACCACCATGTAATGTGCTCTATATGATGTATTTTTGCTTTATCGAGCCAAAGCCTTCACCCCAAGGAAGGGCCTCATTTGTAATCAATAATAAGCACTAGTATAATCATTTTGAATGGGTCAAGCCCCATGATTTTTTTTTCTTTTTTAGGATTTTCCACTTTAAAATCTTGGTGTCTGTTATGACTCATACACTCCTCTCTCTTATCTATCTATGTAATGGATCTTCGTATAAAACTTTGACGCTAAACTCTATATCTCTCAAGCGAATGTTTAGGATGCAATAAGAACAAAGAAATATTTCTAACTCAAAATAGTATAATATTTTCATCACAATTCCAACTCATTATAAGAAACCAATCTTAATCAGAACACTAGAATCTTTCCATCACATCTCCCAACTCCTTATGAGCCCCATCAATGGTGTATATATAAATATAGTGAAAACCCATGTGTAGTAAGGGAAAGATAATAATAAATATGTAAACAGTAATTTGTATTATAATATCCTAAGTAGACTTAAACGATTAAAGATGCAACAACACAACCACATCAAGTCTTTATCCTACTACGTGAGTTAACTACATAATCTTTTTTCTCCATAGTATCCTATTAAATGTCAAAATCTCATTTAAATCTAATAAAAAATATATTATTTCTAATATTTTCTAACCAAGTCTTTTTAGGTCTACCTCTACCTTTCTTAACATAGGTCAAATCTAATACTGAAAGTACGAGATGCGCCAAGAAGAAGGTGAATTGGTGCTTTTGAAATAATCCTAAGAAAGAGTACTATTTTTTTCGATTTTTCAAGACACTTAGAAATAAGCAATTTAAATTTTTGTATGCAGAAGCAAACAAATTAAATATACCTTGAAAAACAGTGATGATGAAATTCTAATAATCACAACAGAACATACATCTCAGAAATAGCTAAGATGAAGTGCAAAAAGTAAAATCAGAATGAACACACAAGATTTTATAGTGGTTCGGTCAAACCGTGATCAACGTTTACTCCCCGGAGTCCTCCACTCCAAGTATTGCACTAACACAAAGTGACTCTCCTTTTGCCCCCTCAGTAAAATGGAGAAGCCCTTACAAAACTCTCTTTCACCAACCCGGTGCGGCACAGGATCAAAACTCATTTTATAGGTAGAGAACCTTGACTCCTTTTTCTCCCTCATGAGAAGGCATAAAACCTCGAGAACCGACTAAGAAGCCTCTCTCCCTAGAGAGCTCCCACAAGACTCACCAAGGCCATAAGAGGAGCAAGCGTTCAACTAGCCCAGAGCAACCGTGTGATTCCCCTCACACTCAAGCTCGCATTCTCCTTCCTCTCACAAACCCTGATTTTCTTCAAAAGCTCCCTCTCAAAATTCCTTCTTCAGCCAAGTTTCTTTCTTTACATTACTTAAAAAAATGCTAAAGAATTGCTTTTCTAATAGGCTTCAAGAAAGTCAAGAAATTCAAGTTAGTCGTCACTGTTCGTACAATACAATCCAAGTTCGTACAGTACGATCAGTTCAAAACTAGCCCCATCCAGTACGAAGGAGAAAGAATAGTTCACAATTGTTTCAACACATCGTCCAGTATGATCTATTATATTTCCTATGTTCGTACAGGATGAATCTTGGGACAACCGAAAGCCGTCTTTATTAATCGTCCCGTACCGTATACTCTGTACAGTATGGTTAGTTAATTTCAAGCAATTCATCCAGTACGATATTAATATCGTACCGTACGATTAGAAAAAAAAAATCATGGTTTCATCCGGTACGATCTATGGGACGACCGAATTTCGTCTCTGTTCTTCATACATTAGGTTAAGGATCGTACAGTATGAATCATAAATCGTTAATTAACCATGATTTAATTGCTTAATTACGGGGGTTAATTTTAGAAAGATTTAAAATGATCGTACATTATGATTGTAATCGTAAAGTACGAATAGTTCATAAATCAAAATTCAAAATCTTACTTAAATTAATTTGGTGCTAGGATTTTTAGATCGAAACAAATCATACAATATGATCAAGATTGTACATTACGATTAGTTCACAGAAACTAATCTTCCAATTAGTCGTTAAGCCTATCCTCATATAACATATCATATAGTACGAATGAAAATCATACAGTATGATTTGTCCTTAAAAAAATTATTTCAAAAAAAAACTCCCCTGTGTGTGTGCATGATCACCCAATTTGAATACACTCTTTGTGGTCAGACTCAAGAAATGAAAAATGAAAAAAGAATAAAAATTACAGACTCTTTTATATCATATTCTACCCAATCTTGAGTTTTCAGTAGTCTTGAGCAATGTGTATTTTACCTGAAATGTTAGTGCTCACATAACAAAATAACAAGTAAAATATTCAAGGAAGAAAGTAATAATTCAGTCAATATTATTTGTCATCATCAAAATCACATACTAGGGATCCTAAATTACAACAAATAAATCTATTTTCCTGAGTTATTATATCAACTCAAACTTTTCTTATTAATGACATGATCGCCCAAAGTCAGAGTCCCCTCACTATATCTATTATTACTAAAATTATACTTCATGTATTCCGTTTTAGATCTACTCAAACGAAAACCTTTAGACTCTAAAGTTGACCTACATAGTTTAAGTTTATCTTCAACTCCCTCTCTAATCTAATAAACAATAAGAATATTATCAACAAAAAGCATAAACCAGATACATCCTCTTGCAAATGTCTAGAAAACATCCATGACTAATGCAAAAATATATGGGCTTAAAGCTCATCCTTGATGTTATCAAACTAAAAATACTTGGTCAAGATGGAACAAATAATTTTGTAAGTACTTGTTGAAATAATTAGTGTGAGGTAACTCTGTTGTTAAGGAGATGCATCAGAAGGGAGGATTTAGTAGAATCCTATTTAAGAATGTGCCCACGAAGATACGCAGTTCAATCGGGTGTGCTTAAGTGGAAATATAGGACAGTTAAGTGTCGAATCATATAAAAATTACTTCAATTTATTTACTATCACACAATAGTTGTGATATTGTGATTTTGTTTCTCTTAGTATTATTACACACATACTCTCATCATTCACTTGTAAACATACATTCATTAGGACTTGCCTTTAATTTCATAAAAAATTTAAACAGAAATTCACCCCTCTCAGTTAAAGAAGGAGAAGGTTGTTTCTATAAGCCATGAGTTTGAACCACAAGTTCGGTGATTTATCACTCACCTTTCTCAATAAACAAAAAACGCATTGCCATCCATAATTATTAATTGTTGACAAAACCTAGACTCTTTCTTATGTCTTAATATTCTTGAATTAAGATTCTCATGGCACAAATTCATCTTTCACTAATACCTGTCATTTAGTGCATTCTCTTATATGTGACTTAATCCATAATTAACATGACCGATAAGCTAACTTTATCAAGATTTAAAAATTTTGAACAAGCTTAATGCAAATCATTTTAAAAAATCAAATATATATTAATTAAAAAATAGGTCGAATGGGAAAATAACTAAATAGTTATAGGTAGGTCCCGACTGAAATAGAAAACCCTAATTACTATGAAAGAATTAACACAGCCATAATGACTTCATCCTCCCTATGGACCCCCAATACATGATAGAATAATTCAGTAAATCACAACCCCACAATCTTGAAGCTAGACAAAAGTATGATTCCCAAACCCATCAGCGTTTTCTCTATCATTATCTCTTTCTATCCATACTTTCATATAATCATTATCAGCCTTGAACCCAAACGAACCTACTCATTTGCATTATATGCTACATTATATGTTGCATATTCCTATGTGAGTCTTACTGAGAATAGTAAGAGAGTGAACTCAAGTATCCTCAAGTAGATGGACTGGGGAATTTTAAAGAAAATTAATATTTTTTCTTTAAAATGGTAATCAGGTAAACCCTCTTGCCTCAAACAAAAAGTAAGCTATAAATTATAAAACAATAATCACTTAATTAATGCAAAAAAAAAATGATTTAATGTTATCTAAGAGGTCAGTTCATATATTTATCATGTTATGATTCATATAGTTTTCCCAATAACCATATCAAGCATGAATAGCACTTCCAAAAGATGGTTCTTGGTAATATCCTGTTAGTTGATTTCGTATCTGCTAAGCTAACTACTGCCTTTTTATATCTTCTTAGAAATCACCAGAGATTTCTATTATCTGATAGTATACATGAAATCTTGGAGATTAAACCTAACTAAGCACACTTATTCAATCCAAATTTTATTTTATAAAATCTATACATTGAAATACAAATATCAAATGCACATTTAAATAACCATGCATCCATTCAAATCATTGATAGTAAAAAAGCATCTATTTGGTCCATCAGCATCCACATCACTTGTTTGACCCAAAACAACAAAATTTCACAAAAAGAATCAACTTGCTTTTTAAATAGATTGGCATTGATACCTAGTAGAAATGAGGTAGCTGTAGAATCATTCCAAAGAAAATATAATACAAGATTGGAAGAGAAATCTCATGAAATTAAAAAATTGCATGTGTCAAACAAAAATTAGAATCTAGGAAGGCAGGAGTAAATAAAAAGCCCTTCCAAACCATTTTGCATATATAAGCTAATATTGAAAACATAATAAAAAGAGGAAAGCCAATATATTTCCACTTAATTGCCAAATAACAAACATCCAACGCTAGATATACAGTCATTATATAAAGAGATTTGAAATCTATCCCTCAACAGCACAAACATTGTAAAGCGTGAGTAATTCCTAAACTATGTACCTGATTGTTTTTCTCCATTAGCATGCTTGCAAAACCAGGCGGAACAAGTGGCCGGGTTGCAGGAACATGGATAAAAGGAGAGGATTTTGTAGAATTGCAAGGGGAAAGAGAATCATCTACACATTCATCAGGTTTTCTTGTACTCTGTGTGCTTTTATCAGCATCAGAATTGTCTAATAGTACCGTTATGTCCAAGTCAAGGTTCCCTTTGTGAATATCGTTGCTATGTTTCTCTTGTAGCGTTTTCTGCTGCTCTTTCCTCATTAACTCAAAGGACTCTAAATGGCCAATTAAAAAAAAAAACATTCATTAATTAACTTGGATTGCAGTCAGGTGTCTAAGCTAGAAAATAAAAAGTAGTGTACAAATCTTGAAGAAAGCTGATTCCTGGTGTTGCTAACAAGCTAATGTAATACCTCTCCTCTTTCTTTCTTCTTCAGCTCTGTCCACATTCGAACATTCACTTGATCCAAAAGTTTCATCATTACATAAATCACTGCCATCTTTGCGTGAATAAGGTGCAGCCTGATGGAAAGGATAATCCAAACTCACAAACTACATCTTACAAACTCTATCAATATAGAAATGGCTGATCTACACCAAGTTACACCATCATATTGACATAAATAACCAAATGAAACCATCATTTTGAGAAACGTATGCATACAAATTTCTTAACTAATAAATGAAATCAGATCTCAGAAAATTATACCTTATAAGGTCGTGGGGGTTGATAAGGCTCGGTACTCTTATTAAGCTGATAATGGCCATTACCCCGAGCCTTTGAGGCTGAAGCTCCAGTAAATCCTGGAGTTCTAGCCAACGCACCGCTTCCCAAAAGACCATCATGCTCTGGATCTTGCCAAGTGCGCCGATTTTGATTTCCAAACCTTCTTCCAGAGTCTTCAGAATTCCATAATAAAATCAAATGGAATCAATAGAATAATTAAAATAAATAATAAAAAAATGCAATATGTGGGCATTAATTTGAGGAGAAAAAATGCCAGAACAAAGCAACATGCAAAATGACTCACAGAACAGACACAAATGTTCAAGTCAATAAGGCAAGTTGAATTGCTTTTCAAATAAATTTAAGAAATGACAGATAATGAATTTAAAAAAAAGTTTAACTATCATGGAATTTATATTAGCACATTAGAAAACTAATGCAGAAGTTCGTGCAAATGTAAATGAAACAAAAAACAATACTTTAGAACCTGTTCGGGATTCTTTTATTTTCTTTTTTCTTTTAAATATGGATTGTTAGTGCATTTTTAAAATGATTTTATATCTATTTTTTTTTAACAAATGAAAATATTTTTAAAAACACTCAAAACAATTTGGGGTCTTTGAGTGTATTAAAATATTACTACCACTTTTAACCACTATCAGCCACCACTATTGCAGGCAACTATTATTATCGCCATAGCCTCACCAGTCGTTGCCGCTGTCTCACCAGCTACCATCACAACCACCGCATAAATCAAATCATTTAATATTTAATAAAAACTAAAAAAAATGTTTTTAAGATTACTAAAATAAAAGTGATATCACATGACCTCTTAACTTCAAGATCAACACAGTGAAAATACTTCGCAACATCATGTTACAATTTGACCATGTCATGTATGAGCACAACAATCAATAAACGAAGCACCTAAACACACAAAATAGTAGCTAGACTGGCATTAAGATCCTGCACAAATGAGAAGCCGATAATTGAAAGAATATTTACAATAAAATATAAGAAATATGAAACCTCTGAGAGAATATTTAAACTTCAGCAAGCTTTATTGTCAATATTTCAAATAAAACAATAAAAATACCACTCCAGCATTAAGAATGTTTGCTCTTTGAAAAGCTATAAATAGACCAAAGAAAAGAAATGGTAGCTAAAATAAACATTGATGAAGACCTAAAAATTAAAATAGAAGACATTAATGACCAGCTTTCTCAACAAAATATCTGATAAATCACTTTTTCTCTTTTCCTGCGTTGATTTCTTAGCTCAGGATAAATAATGATTACCACCCAAGATATTATTGCTTACAGAATGCTGTAAGGTCAATATTTACAGTAAGCTGATTAACGGCAAATGAATGGAACCAATAGAAAAAGCCAAAGATCAGTTAAAAGTTTTAAGGCAATTTTAGTAGAATATTCCCATAAGGGTAAGGGAAAATAGCATCTTTTCTATCTTCAGACAGAGGATCAAGTTATTGCACCTAGTTTCAATATTATTATCAGTTTTGGTTTCTCCAGAACAACTTTCTGAATATAATGCTCTCGAACCTAGATGTTGCTACAATGGCTTCTAACTAGAGCTATAAATTTCACTTGAGGATGGAAGATCTATGAAAATCGAATCAGTTTTAGGATCAGGAATAAATAAATAAAATGATTTTAAAATGTATTTAGGGGCTGTTTGGTATGCAGAATTGGGAGGGTAAAGTAAAACAATTACACATATTTAATAAATTCGGTTGTTTGGTTAATTTTGAGCGGAACAAAAGGAAACCCTCCGAAGCATTAGGCGTGTATTACGGGGCGTGTTTCGTGCGAATTAGAAACCCGCTCATATTGAGCGTGCTATAAAATCGCTCGATAAAATCCTTCGCATCGTCGTTGTTGTTCGGCTCCTTCGTTCTTGTTCGACTTCGCTCCTTTGACGACGTTCCCTTTGCCTGTCGGAACGGAAGTTGCGGCATTTTCATCGGAAGTATGGACGGGAGCTCGCAAGTTCTGAAGGTAACTTTCTTTCTTTCGCGCGCAACTTGGGCCAAATCCCGTCAATCCTTCGAACTACATGATATGGTAAAAAATCCATATTTTTTCCTCGGTGAGACATCGCGCTTTCACCATCTTCTTGATGCACACCTCAATCAATCTCTTCAGCTCCAATCGGCTCTTGGCATTCTGATTATCTGTTGACAAAGGCTCATTTGTAAGGCAAGCTAAGCTTTTGCCAGAGATACTGTACGATCACCATTTCTTGGAGATTCCTCAACATCTTCAAGCAGGAATCTCTCTCCAAAATGGCATGACCATCCACCTATTTTATATGCTGCATAAACATTACTATGCCACAGTTTTACTATAAACCTCGTTACAGTCATTATAACTACTTGTTTATCTGAAAATTTACCTAACCTGAATGCCGGAAACAAGACGGCAACGATCTTCTTCTGCATCAGCTACGAGATTCGGCTCATTCTGAACCACATTTTATATATCATGATTATCCTGCTTAAACCCAAAAGTCAGTCTCCTCATGCTAAAAACACCAATATGAAACTAACAAATAGAGTTATTTCATCAAACAGATAGTTTGCATGACGCATTTGAAGTAAAGGAGATCGGCGTCACCGAAACAATGAACTTGTACCAAGTACTAGTCTGATTTTATTAAAAAACAAACTTGAGATTCAAAAAAATAATGATTTTATTTTTTTACTCGTTTTATTTCATGAATTATTACACATTAATATTTTTTTTTGCATGAAGTTTGATGTTATAGTTACAAAAACCATTGGAAAATGTTGTTGAACTACATGAGATTCAAAAATATAATGATTGCTGAAAGTTATTTGTATTGCAATTAGTACAGTATGTGTACTATAGCAACAGATTCGCAAAGAAAAAAATATGATCGTCAACGGAATATACAACGTGACACATATCTTTCTAGGTTATATAATGGATGTGATTCTAACTGTGTGACATGGTACGCATGAGACGAGCACATTTTTTCAAATTATGTGATTTAATGCATACACGAGGATTGTTGTTAGACACAATAAATGTGCGGATCGAGGAACAAGTTGCTATGTTATTACATACACTCGGGCATAGTGTTCGTAACCGAGTCATCCGATTTAACTTTCATCGCTCTGGAGAAATTTTTAGTAGGTACTTCAAAGCTGCATTACATGTTGTTGGGGAGTTACACAATGAGTTTATCAAGCCTCCACCACCTGAAACTCAATATAAGATTAAATCAAGTAATAGGTTTATGCCAATTTTCAAGGTATAATTAATTTTTTATTCAATGAAAATGATGGGGACATCAGTTGGAAAGTCTACTGTCGACGCGGTCGTAAATCAACGGCCACGATTTACCCGATGTACTTTTGATTTTATTATTGTCTGCTTAATGATGTAAATTTTTTATTTCAGCATTTTCCGTTTTTACCCTTCCTTGAGGGATTGAGTCTTGTAGCCCATTAAGGGTATTTGAGTCCTTTTTGCTTTAAGTCATTGTATGAGGCTATTTATAGCTTTCATCTTGTTATTTTGAAGTTAATGAATGATGAAGAAAATTTTCCTGCATTTGTCTTCTTGCATGAGCTCTTGTGAGAGTTTGAGTGTTGATGGAGAGAGATCCCTAAGAGAGGGAAGCTTGCGCACTACCCACCAACCTTGGAGACGGCCGGGTTCGTGGTCTTTCTTTATCTTTGTCTTTGTCTTTCCTCCTTCCACCACCACCACCGGACATCTTCACGCCCAAACCCTTCTCCAACTCCAAGCAATCATCACCCCCTCAATCGAACTTCCACTCCCACCTCCTCCACCATAAGCCGTCGGTCACCTCACCCAACCCCCTCCTCCCTCAACCCACGACCAACACCCCACCCGACCCCTCATACCGCCGGCCCAACCTCTAGCCGCCGGCCACCATCCACCTCCTCATCCCCATTGAAATCCTTGCCTAATTTGGGAGATTTAATTTTGGACAGATTTTTAAAATTCAAATCCAACTAATTTGAATTTGAAAATCTTTCCTAAGTTGTCATGCTATTTTTTGGAAAGTTCCTAAATCAAGTCTTTTGAATTTCAAATTCAATTGGATTTGATTAATTACCTTCGTAATCCTAAATTTGATTTATGCAAGCATGACACCTCACCCCCAAATTCCCTCTTGCCCATTATTGCCGCCGGCCACTCTTGGCTAAATCCTTAATTGTTTCCTAATCCCCATCCTTGTTTTAAGGAAAGAATTTCAATTCCCCCTAATCTCATCCTAACCGAAATTTCCTTTCATCCCTAGACTCTATTTTATTTCCTAAAACTGGATATTGGATTTAGGAAAGAAGAGCCCCAACCCCTCTCAATCCCGTCGGCCTCCTTTCCCTGTCACCCGTCTCTCCCCTCCCTCTCATATCTCCTCTCCTCCTTGACGTCACTTTGCTTGATTTCCTTAACTCTAGCTGCAAATTTTTTCCTCCCTACACGGAGAGTTGGAATTCCTCTCAGATTTCTGAGAGAAGAAAATCTAAAATATTTCAGATTCCTTCAAAAGAATTATGCAGCTTTGTGGAAGAACTTGGAAAAACTGGAAGTCTTCTCAGATTTTGGACTCAGATTCTTTTCTGTATTTTGGAAGAAGATTTGGGGCTTAACCTCTCTCCGCTTATAAGAGAAGATTCTTTCTTTTGCTACCATTCGAGAGGTGTATCAAGAAGATTCTCTGCAAAGGTGTATCAAGATGATTCTCCGCAAAGGTGATATTCTTCATTGAATCGTGTACTTTCTTATACTACTTCGTAGGGAGATTGTTCAAGCAAGAGATTTTGTTCCACTGTCACCATCCATTAGTAACGTAGGATTGTTACTTCTTTGCTTTTAGACCTCTTGTTAGATCAACGTTATGATGAAAGCTACTTTGTACGCATTGCTTTAATTCTTCTAAATATTTTGATTTTGTTTAGTCTCTCGTGTAGCTTAGCCTAAACGGACGTAACCGCTTAATTGTTTTATTTCATGATTTTAGTGGTTAATAACGAGAAATCTAAAGTTGTTCTTTAAATATTTCGTGAAAATTTCCTGTCTCGCATTTAGTCTTGCATCAGAAAAACTCTCTGTTTATTACAGAATCCTAAATATACTTTGTGTCAAATTTAAGATTGTATTGGTACGATAGATGGAACTCATATTAAAGCTAGGATTCCAAAAGAAAACGAAGCCGCATTTAGAGGAAGGAAACCATATCCAACACGAAATGTTTTAGCAACAGTAGATTTTGATTTGAGGTTCACATACATGCTTGCTAGTTGGGAAGGTTCTTCTCATGACGCAGCAGTACTTAAAAATGCATTAGAAAGATTAGATGGTTTACATGTACCAACAGGTAAATATTATCAGGCTGATGGTGGCTACTCCGCACGCAATGGTTTTATTTCGTCATAACGTGCCACAAGATATCACTTGAAGGAATTTAGTTCTATTCAACCTACAAATTCAAAGGAGCTTTTTAATCTATGGCATTCCTCATTACGCACAACTGTTGAGCGTGCATTTGGTTCCTTGAAAAATCGTTTCACAATTATAAAATGTGAACCCTACTTTCCTCCACAAACTCAAGTTAATATTGTGATTGTTTGTTACATACTGCATAATTGGATAGTTACAGAAGGTGGCGATGAATTCATTCAATCCGAGGATGAATGGGCTAGAAGAAGCTACTGTAGAAGAGGAGAGCAAGCAGATGTAAATGATTTGCGAGAATGGCTAGATAAAATAGATGAAATTGCTCAATTCATGTGGACTCGCATGCAAAATGATGGATTTTAGATTTGTTTTTTTCTTTTTTTTTTAATTTACATGTAACTTACTAAGTTCTACTACTGACTCGCATACAAAATGTTGTTTTTATTGATTATATTGATATATGTGATTATGCACTACTACTCTCCTGTACCATGATAAGAATCTTCTATTTATATCTTCACAAAAGTCTTACCTCTTAAATAGATTTTGGCTTACTGGTTTCTTTTAAGGTTTCTATTGTTGCTACATTCAGACTATCTACTTAATGCTTTATATTGTAAACCCATTTGCATCAACAAGATTTTGATTATTTGGTCACTAAAAGAATTCCCCTGCTTTATTTTCTTTTAATTTAACAATCTTTTAACACATTAACCATTTTATGTTATAGGTTACTTGTTCATATATTGTGGGTTTATATATGATATCTTTGTTTAGATGGTTTACAGTGAATTTAAAACTTCCGTAATTATACACGTCACAATAGTTTCTTATGATTGTATGCTGTTTTCATATCCAATAAATAAATTTTGATTTTGTGATTGACTTTTGTTATGAAGTCTCTTGTCCTTCTTTTGTTTCTTATATCTCCTCTATGGCTTTAAAAGAACATAAATTCTTTAAGTAGAAAATGTGCTTACATGATCTGTAAATTATTTGAGGAGCTTTTGAATTGAAACGTGACTCTGCAGAGTCTTGAACGACAGTAAACTACAGCTTGAAATGGATGATGTTAGAATTCATAGAATTTGAGAAGGTTAAAAATACCTTCTAATTAATATACAAAATTATCCCTATTTATAGATCTATACAAGATGTCTTAATAAAGAAATAAATAACTTCTAATTGATATATAATTACCTCAATATAATCCTTCCTAATTCAGCTACCCAAATATAGAAGGATATTGGCGTGATCCAGGTGAGTCTCCCACGGATTCTCATCCTGACCGTGAGATCAAATGCCAAGGGATGACTGAGATTTTGACACTCCCCCTCAAGCTGGAAACCAGCATGCAATTACTCGCTCAGAGGTAGAGCTGTATTGGTTATAGATAGAATATCAATCACACGAGAAAGCCGACAATGAAGGTCGATCATGGAAAACTATCCTCAATATTCCGATAATTAAGGTCGGTTGTGTGAACTTGTATTCCTCCGGTTTCCAGCAATGAAGACTGTATTTATAATAGCAATAAAGGCTGATTTGATCAACCATAAAGGCTGATTTGCTTGTATCAGCAATAAAGGCTGATTTGTTTGTATCAACAATAAAGGCTGATTTGATTATGTCAGCAATAAAGGCTGATTTGATTATATCAGCAATAAAGGCTGATATCATGTCTTAATCATATCTCAAATCTGATTTAAGACTTCTTGCTGTTGTCGGCCCGTCTAAGATAATCGGGAGGGGCGTCTCTGTGGATCTGAGCGGAATAGGAAAATCAGAAGGAGCTTTCGATCGAGTCGTCTGAGCGAGCGTTCAGGCGAACTTCTTCTCCTGGCTTCTTCCTGCCTTCCGACATCCAAGCTAGTGTCTTCCTCCGAGCGGCTCCTTCCTGCGTCTAGAAGCTAAAGCGAGGCTTCGACTTTGTCTTCCGCTTTTAGCTAGGGCCTTCTGCAACAGCTTCTGTCTTTGGTAAAGCTCCGCTCTAAGGCGTCCGACGTCCTTTGGCAATGCTCCACTCTGTCGGCAAGGTACCGTCTGCAGAGGGCTCCGTCTACACTGTCCTGTCTTTGCAACGCTTCGTTCGTTCGAGTCAAAATAAGGAAACGGAGGTAGCGTCGGCAACGTCTGGCAACTCCAGTCTCTTCTTCTTCTCCTCCAAGAATTCTACGATCGTTCTTCCATCGGCAATGAAAGTCGTTGGCTCTTAAATACCACGAAACATGATCACTTGGCGACCATGCGTAGGATGAAGTCCTTGTAACAAATGGTGCCATCCGGCAAGACATCAACCTTACAGATCCACGCATCGAACTCATTCGGCTCGAGTTTCTCCCCAATAGATGTAAGAACGTGGCGGAGGTAGGCGACCAATACCAAGCCGATGGAATCTTTGTCGAGAACTTTGAAAGCGCCGCGGAGTTGGTGGTCAAAAGGCTCGGCTCGCAAGTGCTTCCGCATCAGCTCCAGGAAGAGAGTGAAGTCAAAAGGCGTCGTTAGCCCCTCCTCAGTCGCGATCGCCTTCAGCTGCGCCTACGATCTTTTCTTTCAAAACCTACAGATTCGAATGCTAGATGGATGCATAAAAAGTTAGGAAACTGATTTAAGTTGTTGAATATTGGCATATCTATTAAAGTTGTTATCACTATAAACTGTTTCATGTTAATTTGTTGTATTATAACTACGAACAATGGGTATATTTTTATATTTTGTTTTCTAATTGTATATTTACATTAATGTTGTTTACATGTTATGATTGAGAATCGTGTTATTTATTGATTGCTAATAAAAAACAATTGTTTTTACCACTAAATTAAACAAAGAAATCGGTTTGAAAATTTAGTTTTCTGCAATTTTTTTGTAAAAACATTATTTGAAAAATAAAAATTTTAAATTTTAAAATAATTTAAAATTAAAATTTTTCTCTATCACAAGTATATTTTCGTCTATTGCAGCACACTGCTAAGTTAATACATAGCATAATTTTATATCTTATAAAAAAAATTATAATAAGATTGTGCAATAAATGAATAAACTGATTTTATTTTATAGCACCAAATAATACTAATTAACATAAATACACTGCTTTTATAAATACACTTGTTTTAATGTCAAAATAAATTATTAAAAAAATGCTTTTACTTTACTCTGGATATACCTAACCAAACAAGGGAAACAATTCTCCTGCATTTATTTTGTAAACAATCAAACATGCTCAAAGTATTCGGAATGTATTACATTTACTTTACATTGTATTTATTTTACACTGCATTTCTTTTTCAGGCAACCAAACAGCTCCTTAAATTAAGAGAGAGAAAGATATATATATATATATATATATAGAACATGAATGTATGTGAATGTTTACATGTATGCATGTTGGGCCAAAAATTTTATTATAATCAAAACCAACGAGTTGGGCATGGTGTGAACAAAGCTTGGATCTAACCATTCACCAACTAAGCTTGCCTCATATCAAGATCGACCAAACACTACTTCTAAACATGGTTTTAATCTTAGATTGAATTGTATTCAAACAGCAATTGACTCAAGAGAACAACAGCATTGAATTGAAGGAACAATTGAAACTAAAATATATGAAAAGTAACTATTTACAAAAAATCCAATAGAGATTGAAAACATCTAGTATCATCAAAAGAAACTTGGAGTCAACAAACAATAAAATATTTGATATCATATAAAATAATCAGTCACCAAAATAACAGCAATACTTTAATCTGAGTCAAAAGAATGATACAAGGAAACTATTGAAACAAAGATTATATGTTGGAAATTACGAAAGATTCCAAGTTCAAAAGCATTTTGATTTCAAGAAAATATCAAACCTTTAGACCAACATCCAAATGGTTATAAATATAATTCCAATTAAGTATATACCATAATTTTTTTTTAAACATATAGCGCTATACAAACCAATTGCAGTTCCTGAATTTCTTTCTTGCCATCATAATAAAAATGTGATCATCGTCAAACAGCTTAACTAAATAGCATTACATGATTCAAACTTGTAAGAATTTAAACAGCTGATCTCCAAACTTGTGCCAACTGAACAAATTCACATAAAAAAAGGTTTAAAAAAAATAAAAAAAATAAATAAAAAATAAATAAAAAAAAAAGGTTTTCTTCTATTATAGTTCACCATCTTCACAAGAAAATTAATAAAATTATTTAGTAGAATTCAATCACTAGGCTGTGTTAACTGCTAAAGAAACAGTGCTGTTATGAATGTCATAGGTACATCAAATGCCTAAAAACTTTATGTTCTTAGAAAGGAATGCCTAAAATAATTGCTTACCAATCGCATTAGCCACCTATTCATCAAACATGAGGTAATGGATATGATGTCAAAGAGTCAGATTGTATAAAGAGTAAGATAGGAGACATGTTTAAAGGGTACACCTAAAAAAACCCATCATAATATTGGCTCACTTGTGTCAAGGTCCTAAAATTCTCAAATAATAGAAATAAAAGAACTAGCCTACTTCTACAGCACAAACATTAAATTAAATAAAATAGGGCTAAAACTTGAATCCCCATGGAGTCGAGATCCCAGTTAAAACTAAGCAGGTGAAATTGCATACCTGAAGCCACTCAATGCTTTTGGCAATAACAAAAATCACCTATTATACCATGCAAGTTGGTTGTCCCAATAAGCAAAAATAAAACACCATAAAATGAGTCTACTAATGTCATAAACTCTTATTTACAAAATCCGTGATACAAGATTCAAATTTTTGCTAGTGGGTACTAGCTAGGTTAATTGATAAAGGCCTTTGGAAATTATTCCAAGGTCATGAGATTGAGTCCCGCCTACACCCAAAAAAATTATAAAAAAACAAAACTTCCATAGCAATGCAGACCTGCATGACCATAAATATGTACAAAAAAAGAAAATTGCACCCTTGATATAGATCATAAAGTTTCTTCTCTAGTGAGTGAAGAATAAGGATGGAAACTTGTGATGAACTTACTGCTCAAACAATGCCATGTTAAAATGGGCAATCAGCTGACAATTGTGACAAACTTATTGCTTAAATAATGGCATGTCAAAATGGGCTACCAACACACAAAATTTAAGGGCTCCAAAGTCCAGAGTGAAAATAATCTTAATTCTATAAACCTAATAGATGAATTGGATGGCTGAAACAGCCATATAACGCCAATACGACAATGAATACTAACAACATAATAAAGCTGGCTATAAAAGCTACATTTAGGCAATCATCTGCAGTTAAACAAAACAATAACATCAATTTGCTTCAGATGTCCCAGAAAAGACTTTGGTTCAAGTTTTGGGTAAGCCCAATGGCAGAATCAATGCAAAAATCCTTCTAATAGTGTTCTAGCTAGCATAGTAAACTTAAGTGAATGCATCTATCCAACTATCTACAGACAGAAGCAGATAAATCAAAATTCTGCATATTATAACAGAGGAGCAAAAGAAGAAAACATTCACCAAAAAGCATGGAGGACAAAGGTAAGGAAAATCAAACAGACCTTGGGTAAAGGATTCCCGGTCGGACAGCAAGTCTCCTTCCCTGTCACTTGATCCAGATGACCGAGTGTCCCACCTCGAGGATATCCCTTTTGTATAGCTGTTTGAATTTTCTGATCTATTCAGCGATAGTGAACCATACTCTCCCCGCCTTGAACCGTGCAAAGATAAGTTGCCAACACTTCTTTGCCGCTCAAATGCTGTATTAGTAGCTTCTTCAAGATCACTGTCCCCAGGAGAAAAAGAAATATGTGTATGGCCTAATTAATAACAGATAAAATTCAACAAGGAACAAATCTAATAAGAAAACAGAATGTATACCTCAGGATTGATTTGTCCAATCCACTGGGTAACTTCTTGCAAGCATCCAACTCACTCAAAGACAAAAAAAAATCCCTCGTATACCTAATTCTCGGCTTCCTGAATCCAAAAAACAAGACAGCTTAGAAGCAGAAGAACATGAATTCGCCAATTCTTTCAGTAAACTAAGCAAATATCACAGAGATCGCTTACTTCTGATCCGATATAGGCGCGCTGCTTTCCATCGGGGATGGAAGCGACAATGGGTCCTCATGCTCTGAACTCATCCACGGAACACTCGCTTAGCTCCTATATTACAGCTTGATAGGCGAGAAACAAATCAAAACCCTTCGTAGCTTTCATGCTACAAAAAAAAAACAAACAAACAACAAGAGGAAACTACAAAAACCGACGCATGTTCCCTAACGCTGCAATAGTAAAGGGACTCTCTATCAGATGAAGCCAAGGATGCCTGCCCCAGAAAACTCTTCCTAATTGAAAAATAAAGCTTTACAAAACCCTAGATAAGTCAGTCGAGAATTCCAGCCCCAAAATTGGTCCCTAGGGCAAGGAAATGAATATGTACAAAGGCGTGGGAGAATTCAGAAGTGGCAGAGATGGAGAGGGTAGGGAACGGAGGAAATCAGGTCGTGGAGATCGATCGGTGGTTGGGATAGATCGTGGGAGAACAGGCGGTTGGGATAGATCGTGGGAGAACAGGTGGTTGGGATAGATCGTGGGAGAACAGGAATTTAGGAGAACAGGAATTTAGGCGTCCAGTAAACCTACAGTCGGTGAGTGATTGATGGGAGTTTCACCCTTGCATCGAAGGTTGTAAGGGTAGAGCGGCTTGAAGGTAAAGGAGAATTAATCTTCCCGTCTGCGATACGTAGAAAGAGGCAGAGCTGAGGTGGAGAACGAAGCAGTCAAGCAAAACAATATCGGAGAGAGAGGGAGAGAGGGAGAGAGACGATGGCGAGGAACTTTTATTACATTCATGAACACAGGCTCCTCTACGTTCGGTTTTAGATCAAAATAGTGCAATACTCAGTTTTTTGAAAAAACTCGGTGCAACTCAGTACTCAGTATTGTATTTTTTTTGCTTAGAATCGAACTTAGAGGAGCGTACAATCACAGGATAAAATAAAAGTTCGATGGCGAGAGGACGGAGGGGTAGAGGTCACCAAAAGTAGAAGATCGCTTGGAGAATAGACGATCATTCGGTTCTTGGATTCATCCTGCTGCGTTTTCTCGTTTGTGTTTTGGTTTTGGTTTAATTAACCTGATGCAGCATTTTTTTATTTTTTCCAATGCACGAGTCTGCCCATATCAGTTGCAGTAAATTACAGATGTATCATTGCCTTCAAGCATTTATGAGGATCCGCTGCAACAATGGAACACGGAACATTGATCCAGTGCATGTAAATGAGGGGGCACAAAGGAAGGTTCAATATAAGCTTGGCATCAAGAAAAGTTTTTATTGCATACCATTAGCTGAGAATTCCTATATTATAACGAATATAATACTTAAAGTATATTAAAATAAATATATGTAGTAATCATTAAAAATATAATTATTCAATTGAGAATTATTCTTAAATCACATCAACTATATTGAGATTATTGAGTGAAAACAAAAAACAAGAAATTTAGAGTTTGAAAAGAATAATACTAGAGTAAGAAGGTTTGAGATTTCAGTTAAATAATATTGTGGTATAGAAAATTGTATAAACTTGGCTCACCCTCAACGTTTATTTATAAATTTGGATGAGGCTTGAGTATTTTAGAATTGGCTATATCTATTGCGTTAAGGAAAATAAGAAAAAAAATATTATAATTATGAAGCCTCAATGAAAGGTCTGATTTGAAGTGGTCATTTACCACGCTCTTAAGCGGTCGTCGTCATGTCTTGTATTAATACTCGAGTAGTTGAGTAATCAGGGGCGGATCCAGCTTCTTTTTTCAGGGTGGGCAAGATATAAATTAATTAAACAATAATTAATAATAATAATAATAATAATAATAAACATTAATAATAATAAACTAACTTTTTTAAAATAATTTAACCTATTTATGTTATTAAATTTTTAAGAGAAAAATTTTATCATTTATCTTTCAATATAATATTGATTTTAGTAATAATATAAGTTGGAGTATAATCATATAAATTATGCTAAAACTAGACTATAACTTAGAGAAAAATAATATTAAATAAACTTAATGTTATCTAACTTAAGGAAAAAAAAGAATAATCTTGAGCTTGTTGTATTCATCTCATCGAGCCTCTAGATTCGACTATAAGCATGTCACATTTGAAAATTATTTGGTCATCCAGTTTATAGTCGAATCGAGCGGCTCGATAAGATGAATACAATGATCCCAATATCACTCAAGTATATATGTATCTCTATGGCATCTAAATGCTTCATGATCAAGGGGATCACTATGTGCCGTCTGATGGAATATTCCCAATGTGCCCATGATCTTTTCCATATTTATTAGTCATGTCACTATATATATATATATATATA